CCCTTCCCCTGGTTTTTGTTCAGCCGCCCTGAGTCCCTTCGGGGAATAGGGCGGCTTACAAATCGAATAAATACCAAATACCAAATACCGAGGGTGAAGGAGAAAAGAATGCACAGGAATCTAAAGTCAAAAGTCTTTGGGACATTTAATATTCTCTACAGAAAAATTACAAACATTCCTCACATATCTGAGGCTTAATAGGATTTACACAAGACTCGGCACCCCAGAATGGGACTTTTCAGTGATAAAATGTTCTGTCTGTAAAACTTTAAATCTGTGTTCTATGGGACACAGGCTCCATGAGAAACTAAAGGGAAAAAGTTTACTCAAATGTACCTGCTGTTTTTAATCACTAAAGCTTGATCAAAGGTTCTGGCATTTAAAAAAACCTTGCAAGTTCTTTAGCCTGAAACTGTTTGAAACCCTTGGTTTAAAAAAATAACATTTTGTAAGCTTCTTTTCACTTCTAAATACAATTAAAAGTTACTTTTTCGCAGGCTGAGAATTCTTTAAAAAATGTAGTATTTTACAAATTTCAACAATGTTGTCAGAAGTGAGTTCAGTACCCTTTATGGTTTTGTTTGCATAATTGTGCTTATATAGATTAAGTGCAGGGGGCATGGTTAGTGTGCAATGTTGCCAGTTAGCACAAGAATGGAGGTGTAGAAGTGGTCTAAAGGAAGCCAGTTCTAGCTCTGTTGTATGATTCAAATAGGGATGAGAAGGTGACAGATTCCTGCTCCAGACTTGGGAGCACTAAACCTGTTGATTTTATTTAATGTTCTGGGAAGGGGAAAAACAAGAAAGATGATAGGCTCAAGATCCAGATGGATCTTGAAAGACTTGAACACTGGGCTCTTTCTAACAAAATGAAATTCAATGTAGAGAAAAGTAAAGTCCTACACTTAGGTAAGAAAAACCAAAAGTATACATATAGATTGGGTGAAATCAGGCTTAATAGCGGTAACTGTGAGAGGGATCTTGGAGTCTTAGTGGACAACCAGCTAAATATGAGCCAGCAGTGTGCAGGGGCAGCCAAAAAAGCCAATGCAATCCTAAACTGCATTAACAGAGGGATACAATCAAGATCAAGTGAGGTACTAATACCACTCTATAAAGCCTTAGTAAGACCACACTTAAGAGTATTGCATCCAGTTTTGGTCACCACACTATAAAAAAGATGTTGAGACTCTAGAAAGAGTGCAGAGAAGAGCAATCAGGATGACTAGGTGACTGGAGGCTAAAACAG